CGAGATGGACGGCTTACCTCGGCCTCGCGATAATATCGTCGCGGACGATCTTCAACACCTCGTAGAGAGGTTTTACCTGGCCTCGCTAAGGTATGACTAAATGAGTTGGATTTGAGCCATGCCCTGAGACAGGTCGCTGGCCTGTGTGGGGTGCTTCACGCTTGTCCCACATCAGGGCTTAAAGTGTCGAACGCAAAGTGTAATACCATCGTCCAAGTGATGTCTGATCAGATGTGGTGGACAAGGTAATAGCAATAATAATGAAGTAAATGATAGGAGTTACCATATTGACAATATGGTAATAATAATAATAATAATAATAATAATAATAATAATAATAATAATAATAATAATAATAATAATAATAATAATAATAATAATAATAATAATAATAATAATAATAATAATAATAATAATAATAATAATAATAATAATAATAATAATAATAATAATAATAATAATAATAATAATAATAATAATAATAATAATACGGAGTAGTTAAAATGATAGTATGGGAATACTTATCTTTTAGGAAAGGGACCTACATGTGAATAATACTCAGTAATAAACCCATGCCCAGCTTTTCCTCCTTTACAGGCTGGAAAGAGGACATCCGTCCCTGGTGATGGGTAATGCCCAGCTTTTTCTCCTTTACAGACTGGAAAGAAGACATCCAACCCTGTTATGACGCGGAGCGGTGCTGCTGGGTTTTGCCGGTGTTGGTAGCCACGACAGAGGACGGCTCGCCGGAACAAAGGAGTGAACGGTGGCCGGTGTTGGGGTCGGGCAACCAGGTATACTCCATCCGTCTAAAGGCTGGACTCCAATTGAAGATTATCGGACAACGACCCAAAGAAGACGCCGACCATTTGAGAGGGTGCCGTAGGTGGCGACGGAGCTGGAGCTATTACGCCGTGGCTGGAGCTCGGCTCGTCCGTCTCCTTCCTAAATCTGGCACGCCACGGCCCCAAATTCAAGTGGTTTCTCCTAGATCTTAAAATTGAGGCTTCCGGCAAAAGTGGGAGTAACTGAAGGGGTCCGAGGTGGCGGCGACTAAGCAGCGGCGGTTGGTGGCCAGACTGAGCGACAGCTGCGACCGTCCATCGCGGTCCTGGGGACCGAGCGATTAAAATTGCCGGAAGAATCGGCGCTGCATCCGGCACTTCAGAAAAAATGACCGAATTGCAGCAGCACTGGGATGAATCTGAATTTTGGCCATGCTTCTTCTCCACAGAGAAAAGTGGATCTAGGAAAAAAGTGGATCAAGGAAATCCACTTCGTCGGTGAAGTCCCCACTGCGCAGAGAAGAAATCTGCCGTCTCCACCCCTTTTTTTTGGTAAATCTGAAAAATGATGTTAGAATCAAAAGAAAAATTTTGAGAGCACCCTTGATGGAATCCAAGGGTAGAGGAAAAGGAGAAAATGTGTAAAGATGAAGAAGATGATGAATAGTGTAGCCTCCATTGTTTCCTCCCCTCCCTCTTCCTAGAAGAGGGGTATAAATAGGGAGAGTTAGGGTTAGGGTTTGAACATACATACAAACTAATGGACCGGCCCAACAGACTGGGCCGCCCCTAAAAAGTAATTAAATAGCGATGTATTGCATGAAGCCATACAATTATTATTATTTTTTAATTTTTAATTAAATTAAATGTGAGAGAGGTGAGGTGTTAAAAAAGGATGCAAAAACATCCTCAGACCAGCCAAACGGTCAGTGAGAGGAAATAGATTTGACTTTAATCATAGATTGGAAGAGGTGGGATGTTAATATGTGATTGGTTGGAGAAAGGAGAGAGAAGTTGGTGCAGGCGGTGTAAGAAGAAGATGGAAGAAACTAGAAAAATTGAAAAAAATTGAAATTTTTTGGAGGAGCTTCAAAAAGTTAATTAAATGTACTTTTGTTGGATTAAGGAATCCAAGGGTAGAGGAAAAGGAGAAAATGTGTAAAGATGAAGAAGATGATGAATAGTGTAGCCTCCATTGTTTCCTCCACCTCCCCCTCCCTCTTCCTAGAAGAGGGGTATAAATAGGGAGAGTTAGGGTTAGGGTTTGAGCATACATACAAACTAATGGGCCGATCCAACAGACTGGGCCGCCCCTAAAAAGTAATTAATACACGATAAACGGGCTTGTCCAACAGACTGGACCGCCCCGACCAATATTATACAAAGATCGGATACCCCTGTCCAGGGTATCCATCAACTTTACATATCATTCTTATTATAATTGTTATTATTGTTGTATTACTATTATACCTATCATAAATAATAGGTAAATAAAGTTAAGAAAAATTTGTCCACGTAAATACTGTATGTGCCATCAAATTAGGGATAGAGAGAGGGGTATAATTATTATTTTTTAAATATAAAGTGTTGATGTTTTTTCTAAGTCAATTTAGATTAATAAAATATTTTTAATTTTTAGAAGATCATTTAGTGTCATGTAAATTTAAAAATAATTTTTCAATAAAGTGTACTCTGTATTAGTGATATAAAAATGAAAGAAAATTAATAATGAGTGTGAATATGAAAAAATGACATGAGTAAAAAAAGGTTATATTTTATTTTATTTTTATGTTAGATATCGATAGATCTGGTGACAAGTTGGGTGAAAAAAACCTTCACCCATATCTGAATCAATCCATCGTATCATTCATTATATAATCCATATTATTTTAGATTTTTATTGGTTATAATAGAACAAGTATCTATTGAGTTGGGCAGATATTGACATTCTTATTCGTCTCATAATCATTTTTTGTATGTTTAAAAAATAATACTCCGTAGTTATTATTTATTTGAAAAGAAATAAAATAATGAATCACAACATTTTTAATCCAAACAAATTCGCATAAAATTAATTAGGAAAGCAAGAAAATAATTACAGAGAAAGAGTAGGAAAAAAAAAGGAGCTAACTCATTCACCCAACAGTACGATGGACCGGCGGACCGTCACAATTAGAACTACGGGAACAAGCCAAAGCCTTCCACCATGTTCACTTCTCTGGAAATGGACCGCCCCACTCCGGCACCTCTTCCTCCGCCGGCGGCGGCGCCGGTAAATCCACCTGAGAAAGCAGATTTCGAATCTCAGAACTGCAACGAAGAAGGAAACTCTGCATCGCAGAACTTCAGAGCTCTGATGATGAGATTAGCCATTGCATCTTCTCCGTACAAATCCCTAACTCCTACACAAAGTTCGATCTTCGAAGAGAAGCTTCGCCAGTGTTTCCCTTATGTCAATGCTCCTGATCATCCTCCTTACTCCTGGGCAAGTCTCTGTTTGATTCTGTTAGCTATTCACTCTTCTTCTATTTGTGTTCATTTATTTGGGAATGAGGGTTTTTTTATTATATAGTTTTTTGTTCTTATTATGCTAATCTAGCTAGTTTTTATTTAAATTCTTGATCTGATGCTGATTCTTGACTAATATTGAAATGTTGGAGTGAATATTATGTTTTTATTCAATTGTTTTCATATGCAATTGGACTAGGGATTGTTAAAATTTGGGGCTTTTTTTAATCTTCACACCTCTTCTCATACAAGTTCCTTGGAATATTTTTTTAAAAAAAGGATTTTCTATTCACTTAGCTTCTGCATGCTTGGCCAAGTTTTATAATTTGCAACAAGATGTCAAGAAAATTCTGTTTCCAATTGTTCACTTCTTTCAGTGTTGCTTATGAGTCTCACCGTTAGGGGGTTGCGATGTTCATTAGGTCACCATTTTCTTGATAGTTCATTTTAATTTATATGGAGTAATGTGTAGAGATTGGTTTTTCCCATACAAGTTGCAATGTTTTTTTGCAAAATTTTATTGTTGGTGTGGTGTGCTTCAAACATGGCAGATGATTCGAAAAGCAATTGAAAATCTGAATGAGGAAAGCGGTTCTAGTGAGGAGGCGATATCTGAGTGCATAGTGAGCAACAATCCTGAGTTGCCGTGGGCCCACTCAGCTCTACTCAAACACCACTTGACAAAATTACGCGAGAAGGGCGATATTGTTCTGACTAGAGATGGGCTCTATCTGATAAGAGAGCAAAATACCCCCGTCCCGGTAGTTTCTAGCAGCCCATCTAGCAGTTCTACTTGTAGCCTTAGCTTTAGCCCCAGTGTGGATTATATGGATAGTGATAGCACCACCAGTGGTGGTTCTTCAAAGAGAAAGGGGAGGAAGATGAAGAGGAAACCAAAGAAGGTGGGAATCAAGAAGAGAAAGCAAAGACCAACTAAGAAGAATAACATCCATTTGGTGCGAAAGAGGAAGGTTCGGGGTAGGCTACCCAAGAAAGGAAAGAGGAAAGGAAAAGCTCCCTCGGATGAAGAGACCATTGATGCTGTTGAAGAAGCAAAGGAAATGGAATGGCAGGACATGGAAATGACAGAACAAGAGGTGAAACAAGTTAGAATTCTAGATTCCGGGGAATTAATAGTGGTCCCCACAGATGTAGGAACAGAAGAGCAAAATCCAGGGGTAGAGGATGGAAGTGATGTCATCGAAGCAGAAAATGACGAAGATGAGCATGAAATGATGGAAGGACAGGATCCATCAGGATTGGAGCATAATGACAGTCAACGGGAAGAGGAAGGTCAAAATGGTCAGTTAAATGAAAAAATCGAGATGAATGCAGAAGAAGAGTGCCCAGGTCTTCAACAGGATGTTGAAGAAAGTTCCCTGCTAAGCATAGAGAATCAGACACAAGAGGAGAATGTGATGGAAGAAGGGGATCAAGAGGAGTTTCAGGTGGAAGCAAATAATGCAGAAATAGAAGTTAAAAATCAAGATCAGGACGAACAAGATGAAGAAAATCATCCAGAGAATACAAAAGAGGAGAAGATGGATTGGGAATGTGGGACCGATGTAACTTTAAAAGAAAAGGATGATCGAACAGATAAAACAAATTTAGTGAATGATACCACCGACACCGAATCACCTAAAAAGTTAGGAGATGAAAAAGAGAAGCAAGGGATGGGGAGAGTTCTCAGGAAATGTCAGAACAGAAGAAAAGAAATTGTTCTTCCTCCAAATACTGAAGAACACAGAGCAGGAAGGTGCCTTAGATCAAGAAAAAAGATTAAACCCGAGCAAATTCTTGACACAGTTCAGACCTCTATTGGCACTGAAGTCCCGAAATATGAAGGGTATGTTTGGTTCACAGAAAAAAACTAGGGAAATGGAAAAAATGCTAAGGAAACTTATCTTCTTATTTTTGCGTGAAATTATTGCAAAGAAGAATGAAACATTCTTATTTTTAATTCAAATTTACATATTTTTAGATTGTTTTGCTATCACATAACAGGTAAAAATATATAAAATGATTGTCAACTAATATCTAAAATATAAGTAGTGAGTTTTAGCCTTCCTTTTATGTTCAATCATATATTATTTCCTTCTATTATCCCTCATTCTTTTGCTTCTCATATATTCATAGAACTTCCTTGGTGCCAAATGTACCTGAAGACACTGATATAAAACATAACAGTCAACACGAACAAGAAATGGTTGTTTGTGAAGAACATCATAGCCAAGTGGAGGCAGAGATGGTTGAGCCTGATTATAGGCAGTTAGGACTTCAGTTTCCAACAGATGAAGCCGAAGAGATAATGTGTTGTCAATCCCAACAGAATAACATGAATGCTCCCAAGGTGGAGGAACAACAAGAACCAGATTCCCCTAAGGATTCTAAACAGGAGCTATCAAATCAAAGGCAGTTAAGGCACCGGGTTTCCAAGATTGAACCAGGTAAATCTACAAATGCTTGTTAAAGCAGAAACAAGAATTATAACCTATGTGCCCTTTGCTCGAAAAAACAACTTTCTTTGGAAAAGTTTTTCCTTGGAAAATGTCACTTCCATGAAAACGCATTGTTCTATCTTCTTCGTATAATATAATGTGTGACCTACAAAATCAGAAAACATTAAATCGTTTTAGGAAAATGACTTCGGGTCGGTTTGGACTTCGGAAAACAAAAGTAACATTTTCAAGGAAAGAGAATATGTAGAAAAGACGGAACTTGGTTCAAAGCTCAATAGATGCATTTGAAATATTAAAATCATGTTTATTCAAATCTTTCTATTAGGGTATATGAAGACTAAGAAATCTTCATTTCCCCCACTTACAAGCATAAGCTTCATGTTTTCTAAATGGGCTGTATTTTCCCAAAAAAACACAGGAAGTACATCCATTCAAGAAAATCCAGAAAAGAAGTGCCAGAAAAATAATATTATGGAAACAAATGCTGCCTAGTTCATAGATATCAAGTATGTATGACACTTCTAAATGGTCATGGCAGGTTCTGAAGACCAGAAGGTTTTGCAAGGTGGTTTGTCACTGCCAGAAACAAGAAGAGTAACTAGGAAAATGGCAGCTGCTACTGCCAGTTGCATTTCTCCCTTGCTGCTCGTCGAGAAGCAGAAGACAAAACACTCAAAAAGTCAAGTAGATGTAGGAGTGTCTACCGTGCCTAGAAGATCAGCCCGTCTTTCTATAGGACCATCAAAAAAGTAGGTATCAGGGATTCAAAGCTGAGGAAGATAACAGAAGTTGTTCTAAGAAAGCATGGTGGGGTAACACTGAAACCTGTGCGCATACATTTTTGTTCTTTGCAGGATTGTTGCATATATGAAATTTCCTTTAGGGTATGTTTGGGGGGGGGGGGGATACTCCGTAAACATTTGGAGGGCGTGGGGATGGGAAGGAAATATTTTGCTCATTTCCCTCCCCTCCCCTCAACCGACACACAGTCAAAGTCTTTTTGGATGTAGGGTTCAGAGGGGTTAGGACTTAGGATTTGTTCTCTTCACCTGAACTGATTGGAATAAGTTTTCATCTGGTCTAATCTGATCTGAATATAGTTATATTTAAAGCTATTCATGATCTAATCCAATCTGATTCCAATAAGAATAAGTAATAAGTAATAAGGAAAAAATAAGTAGGTGATCGTATGATATTTGGGTCACTTATTCATTTTTAATACATTCCATATTTGTCAAGATATTGACCAAGTTCTCAAACATATTCTTAGAACACTCATTAATCACTACCGGGCTGTGAGAAGGAACTGCGTGATCACATTCATATCTGTCTTAGATTCTGCCCTATGATTGAGTACAACTTTTGCTTGAAATGAAAATTTGATTTATCGGTTTTTCCCTCTGATTTGCAGATAGAAGAATTCAGTGAAGACGCGGACCTGTAATAGACGTCTCGGAAGGGTAGTATGCATCTACATATGTGCCCCCAAAAATATGTTATCCATAGTTTTTTTATAAGCTTTATATTTAAATGAAATATGTTGTGAGAGTATATTTGGAGAGAGGAGCTGTTATGCAACCTTAGCCATGTTGTTGTAGTCAAAGCTAAGTATGGGCTAACAGTGTAAATTCTCTTTTTTTACTTTGTGTAATCCATGTTGAACATTGTTCTTTAAAAAAATGTAACATTAGGGTTGACCATTTTGTCAAGACAAAATATAGTTTGATTTTTTTCCAGAAATTATCAGTAATCTGAAAATATGTATGAGTGTGTACAAATTGGTGTTTCTTTTTTCATTTATGCGCTATGTATGAGTTACACCATGCTATATATCTAGACATTTTTATCAACTTTCATTTAGAGTAGTTTTAAGTGTCAGTGTTGATTGTTCAAGGTAAATTTTATGAGTATTTTGTATTCTCTTTGTGGCAAAAAGAATTTCTTGTGTACTACTCCCTCCGTCCCATTTTAAATTGCCAGTTTGCTGTTTTTTTCCGTCCCAAAATAAATTGCATGTTAGTTGTTTTCGTAAACTTTTAAAAATAAAATACCTAAACTACCCTTAAAATAAGTCACTCTTTTTCACCTTATCTTCTCATTCATCATTACCCCTCTTAAAAAGTAATGTCAATTTTGAAAAATCAACTCTATTTTCTATTTTCTTTAAATATGCCCAAAAATCAAAACGGGCAATTTAAATTGAGACGGAGGGAGTACAAAACATATAAATGGTCAAAATTTTGATCATTTTCTTTTCTATTTTTATTACCCATCCCATAAAATACAAAATTACTTGGGATACACCGTATCCAAGAGTCTTTTCAGCATATATTTTCAAGTGTAATTAAAAAATTTGATGAATGGATAAGAAATGTGTTTGGATGAGTGCAGGGTAAAACTTGAGGTACTCCATAAAATAATACACATAGCTTTATTTTACTCTCTTCGTTCTGAATTAATCATTCCAGTTTTACTTCACGAAATTTAAGAAAAGTGTTAAAAAATAAAAATAGTAAGTGATTGAAATTTAATTTTCCTTCCCATTTTAATTTAAATCACATGTTGTTGTTTACAAGGTTTGATTAAACATATTTTTAATTTAATTTATTTAAAAATTGGTTTGGAATTTAAAAATAAAATTTATAAATTTAAAAACTGCATCAAATATTCTATAGAACAATAGATGATAATACTATATTATTTTTCAAATTAGTACAAAAAATAAAGAATGTGATTAAAATTAACTGAAAATAATAAAAATGTAACCGATTGGTTCAAATGTTCAATTAGTTTAGTTTGATGTAGCTAAAACCCCACATAGGTGTGATGGGTAGGCATAAACCCCACATAGCTACGCAACTAATTTACGCATCATGGGTCATAAACGCCGCCGAATTCAGCGGCCCGCTGCGGCCGAGCCGGCGGCGGCGCAAAACCCCTACCGTCCGAAGAACCCAACGGAAAACCTCCGAGCTCTGCTTATGAAAATGGTCGCGAGCTGTTCGCCCAACCAATCGCTCTCCCCAGTTCAGAAGAGCTTCGTCAATCGAAAACTCCGAGAGTTTTTCCCCGATTCCAGACCTTCTCCCGATCATCCCCCTTATTCCTGGGTAAGTAGGATTCTGTTTTATCTATTAATTCTTACTTTCAATTGATTTCTTAGGAAATACACGCTTGCGATATAGGGAAATCATGTAATTCCAGTGCTTTCTAAATAATTTGCAATGTGAAAACTCATGCTCGTATTTATTTAGTGTGAATTAGTTTGATAAGGCTGTAATTTCAATTTTCCACAATAATTTTAGTTGTTTGGTGAAAGATATGTGTAATTTTAGTGGATTAATAAACTATGAACTACCATTTGGTTAAAGCTAATTTTACTTTATGTGATGTGAAGCTGCATTTTACCTGTTATTATCTTGAAAATCCATAAGAAGTAACTCTCTCAGCAAAGGAGTATAATCAAAGTCTATTTTATTACCCTCTCTGGTCCTATTTACTGGTCCAATTTATCCGACATGTATATTCAGACAGGTGAATTGGACTATTAAATAGATCACACCATCAATTTCACCAAATTTAACCTTATTTATGAACTTGCAACACGTTTAGTTTAAAATGTGTTGCCTTCTCTTTTCATGTTTTCCAATGTGTTCCGTCTTTAATTTTGAAGATCGGAATAGGGAAAAAGTATTTAATGTTCCAAGAATCATAGTTGATGGATACTATATAAATAAGGACAACAACAACTTTCGAAAAGTATATGAAGTATGTGGTGAGAGTTCTTGAGAGTGTGATGAAATTACGTGGAAAAGAAGTAAAGAACTACGGAGTACAATTTATTGTTTCAAGTGCTTTGGATCTATAATGCTAAGAAAAGAAGGAATTAACAAAGATGTGACACATAGGATTACTAGAAAAGGAGCAACGAGAGTACATTGCGATCGAATACCACTATGATGGGAAATTTTTAATGCATTTGATATAAGACTGGCTTTATTATACTGGTCTGTAAGTTGAGCAATGAAAAAATATTACTCCGTAGATAAAGAAGACGAATGTGACATAGATGCCTATGTTACCATGGATGTGTGATAGAACATACCTATTCCTCTGTTTCAGGGTGTCTTTTATTCTATCGAGATTTTCATGAGAAATTCAAACACCTATAAGGAAACATGCTCTAGAATACTCCGTATTTCCTAAGTTCTGGCCGTGATCTATTTTTGGTAATTGAGAGATTTCTTAGTTATAGTTGTTTTAGGAATAAAGACATTATATTTTCTTTTAATTGGGGAGATTAATTCCCTGTTATGTGTTCTGAATATCAAATTAAGAAATACAAGCTAAGAAAAATCAGTTCCCCTAGAACTTGGTCAACACGGACGTTAAAAAGAAAATAAGGAAAACTAGCCTAATTACTTTAGATCAACCATTTGAATGCTACACGACTCTGCACACAAAGTATATCAACAGTTTGCTTGCAAGGACTGGTGCTATAATGACAGCTTCTACAATATTAAAATAGCTGCAATTATTTCTTATGAGTATGACTTCATTTTAAACCACAATATTAAATTCTCTCTCTCTCTCTCTCTCTTCTTTGCAATTCTACCAACCATTACTAGTTTACTACTATTCAAGAAGCTACAACATGTCGTTTCTTGATGTGCTTTGGGCGTTAAACGCTTTCCAAAGCACCTAACTTAAAATTGTTTTACTTGAATCGAATTTTCGAAGACAAAATGCTGAGCCAAAAGAGTGCATGACGTTTCTGTATACCGATCACTTGCCCAACATGCTTACCTTGAATTTTGTACTTGTATTTCTTTCCTGGTATGTGCTGTTTGTGCGAAAAGAAACTTTGGCTTCCTAGAAGATTACACACTTGTTAAGAAATCTTACAAAATGACTCTTCTTTCATTATGCAGGCAATTTGGCTTAACATGAAATACATTCCATTTTAAGTGTATGCTTTTTTCTCTCTTTCTTTCTTTTACATGTTTGTCTTCCTTCTTTACCTCAAGCTCATGCTCTGAAGTTTGCCATATAAAAGTGAATGATTCTTTTCCCTTTCATTTGAAAATTAGGTGATATTGATAATATAGTATGTTTATGTAAGTTGTGGCATTCTTACATGTTTATTCATTTCAACACTGACCAAATATGATCCTGGTAAATGTGTCTTATCTTAAAATGTTTTAACATGGTCTGGTCTGTTATTTCAGCATGTTTTTTTTGATTGTCTAATGCAGATGATTCTGAATGCAATTGAAAAGTTAGACAAGGAAGGGGGTTGTAATGCGGAGGAAATATCACACTATATCCTGAAACAGTATCCTAACTTGCCATGGGCTCATGAAACCTTACTTTCACATCATCTTGTGAATCTCCGTGAAAATGGTGAAATTTTTGAGCCTACCCACGGATCTTATGCACTTGGTGGTGAGAAAGAATGCACTTCTACTTCTAACTTAGGCTCAAGCAACAAGAGAAAGAAGAAGTCAAAGTCTAAGCCAAAGCAGGATTCTAAAAACACAAAGAGGAATGCCGAAAGTGATGAAACAACAGAACAGGAGTGTGCTTCACTTAAAACAACATCTGGGAAGAAAAGATCCAAAAGAAAGTGCACGGAAGTTGTTTTGGCAGAACCAAACGGCATGCAAGGGAAGCAAAATGAGGGAAGGCTTACTAGACTGAAAAAAGTTGTTCAAGAACTAGAAGAACCAAACAGACAAACACAACAAGATTCTGCGAGTAAATTACATGGGGAAGAAAAGCTGAATGGAGAGGCAGGGTTGGAGAAAGGGAGGACAAGATCAGGCAGGCAACCTAAGAGAAACCGGAAATATGATGATTTTCTAGAGGATAAGAAAACCGTACCAGAGATTAATGTTTTGCCTTGTGGAGGGGATCCTGGTCAACATAAAAATGAATTGAAGAAACACGATTTACTGAGTGGAGAAGAATGCAGAGGAACTGAAGAAGAACATGGAGAGATGAAGACAAAATCCGGTGAAGGTACTAGATCCATTTTATAAAGTTCCCCTGTGTAAAACAACAACAACAACCCAGTTAAATCCCACAAGAGTAGGGTCTAGGGAGGGTGTGTGTACGCAGACCTTGCCCCTACTCGAAAGTAGCCCCTGTGTAAAATACACAATAAATTTCAAATTTCAAAAAGTAGGATAGAGTTAAGAAAATACATTTGAAAATGATAAAGTCACCCCATTTTTCATCCCAACCTTCTCATAGACATCCACATATTTTGAACATTAACGTAACAAGTCTCTGTGAATGGCTCTGAGAAGGAATGGTGAGATGTGGGGTGCCCCTAGCATGGTCCAAATATAGTAAGTTTTTTCCTTTTGTTTTGGACGAACAGAGAGAGAGAGAGGGGGAAGGGAAATAAGGCATTTTCCCACCCTGTTTAGTTTCCCTTCCCAATCAAGATAAAATGGCTCTCTCCATATTTTATCTCATTATTTTCCTTCCCCCGAAACAGTCTAAGTAGACTGTTGAATTAGCAACTCTTATTAACATAAGACGGTCATTGACAGGTTTATCAATGAATCCTGCTTGTGACTTCCATCCACCATCAAATCAGCAGAGTCTTCATCCGAGGGATAGTAAGCATGTTAAAAACAAGGGGACTGCTAAAACTCAAGAGATTAGACGATCCCCCCGCATTTCCATTGCTACTACGCTGAAGCAACAGGAGGAGCACAACAGTGTGGTTACTTGAAGGTTCATTGCATTTCCAACAATTCAAGCTTTGCAATTTAATTGGTTAGCTATTCTTCAAAGGTATACATTTTCTTTTCGTTTGCTGCCATTACTTTTAGACTAACCATAAAATGGGAAGCATTTTAGTGGATAGCATTGTATATCAATCAAGTTTTAGAATTCTTGTTTTCGTAATTCATCATCTTCTTCATCATCACCACCACCTTAATCCCAACTCCTTGGATGAGGGCATGAGATTTATTGTGTCAATTAATTTTTAGTTAACACTAAATTCATCCCCCCCCCCAAAGAAAAAAATAGTGCCATAGTTTTGCGCATGATCCCCTCCCTGCTAGAAACTTTTTTCATTACAGTAATGACAAAATGATTAAAATCCCACAAAAAAGTACGGTATGAGGGAAAGAAATTGCAAAATTTCTGGAGATTTGATCCACTTAAACTCCTTCATTTGGGGGCTTTAGCTACTGCTCTTTCGTTCCAAATTAAGTTACATGTTTACTACGGAGTATCTTTCATCATTTTTGTTACTTTCTGATAAAATAATATACTTTTGTCATCTCTTATTTTGTAGAGTTTTTATGTAATTTTTAAATATTTAAACTTTATTTTTAATTCCATCCGATTCTCTAATAAATAACATCGAAAATAACATTAGACCGAAACAAACAATTTAAATTTTGACTCAGAGAGCACTGAGCATCGGTGCACTCTACTCGAGAAGTATGAGACTCATGAACCTAGGCCTCAACTCAGTGCTTGTGTGCGGGATCGAGATCAACAAGACTATCCTAGGAGTATGAAGGCAAATGTACACAAACGTTATGCCTACTTTGAAGTAGAGAAATTGTTTCTAAAAAACCATCAACTCAAATATAGAGGAATATGAAGAAAAAAAACAGATTGTCAACCGTCGAGTTCTTAATATGAGATCAATTGAACACACAATTACATATACTTAGATTGTCTCAAAACCGTGAACAACAAAATAATAGTGCGAGGACAAAAGAAACAAGATTTTATAGCACCCTTTGGTTTTGTACATTCTATTTCATAGCTCATCATGAGAATCATCCTCTTCACTTCATAAGTCGTCCTCTTCTTCTTCCTTTTTTCTCTAGATTGAAATTTTCATAGCCGGATTGTCTTTCTTCTATTTGTTATGCTTGGCGCCCGGGTATGTTCATTCTATTCTTGTATAGAGTACATTTGTTCTCTCAAGGTTACTTAAAATATAATTTATAAATTACACAAGATGAAAGATATAATCATTTTCATATTAGACAAAATATCATGAAAACTTCAAATATCCCCAATATTATCATACCGACTAAACAAATTAATCATATATACATGAATCTTTAGTTAAGAAAGTCAAGCTAAAAAAATATATTGACAGAAAAAATACAACTCCGTATTATTTACATGAATCTTTAGTCATTTTTATCCATTATTATTAATCATTTAATAAAATGATACTACCTCCGTCCCGGAGTATTCGTCCAGTTTTGACTTTTGGAACTGTTCATCTAAGCACTTTGACTCATCAAATTCTATTAAGTGTAAGCCTAAATATAATCATGTGTGATCTTGTTTGATTTGTCTTAACATATAGATTATTAATATATAATTTTTATAATTTTTTAATATACAAATTACAAGATAAAATGGATTAAAAAAATATATTAAATGGTGTGTAAAAATGAAAGTAGACAGATACTCTAGGACAGAAAGAGTATAATAGGCACTCGTTTTCTCATTTGTATGATCAATGTAGGAAAACCCATCCTCAATTGGGATTGCAAGAACTTTTAATACGGAGTATAATTTTTAAAATAAAATTTTTATGTTCAAGCCTATAATTATAATCAAATAAATTAAATTAAAAATAACTCAAACAAAACCTGATTACTATGCCTTTTATTGGCCGACAACTTAGTACTCCGTTTGATTTAAATGGAAATGTCTTACAATCAATTTATAAAACATTTTAAACATATACTTGGTCCGTCCTGAGTATTTGTCCACTTTTGACTTTTGGAGTTGTTCATCTAAGCACTTTGACTCATCAAATTCTCTCAATGTGTTAGCCTAAAAATAGTCATGTGTGATCTTGTTTGATTCTTCTTAACATATAGATTATTAATATATAATTTTTATAATTTTTTAATATACAAATTACAAGATAAAATGAATTAAAGAAATGCATTGGATGGTGTGCAAAAATGAAAGTGGACAAACACTCAGGAACGGAGGAAGTAATTATTAGTAAAAATTTTAGTTATTATTATTACTATAAAGTTCTAAGAATAAAATTATTTGCATATTTAAAGACAACATCAATATTCTTCAAATTTACGAAAAAAAAAGCATAATTATTTAACTCTAAAAACAATTGATCAATGAAAAAAACGAAAGAAAATACAAAATTATTTTGGGAGAAGGAAAAGTCACTGTCTTTTTGTAAATTTAAAACAAAAGTAAAAATCCAAATTTTTTTTTGGGCCAAAGTGAAAATCCAAATTGATATAATTCAAAACAAAAAATGTAATGGCGTTTGGAGGCGGATTTGCGAAGAAGAGATTCAAAGGAGATGTCAGTTTAACAGAGCAAGAAATTCATCTGAGACAAACAAATCGCTCTGTAAACCAAACAAAACCTTATGAAAAACAGCAAATCCGTACTATGATGCCATTGTTGTGTTTCGATGTTCAGGGCTGGAAGATTATCGGGCACCCCACAGAACACCTGTGGGTATTTCAGAGCAATTTCGTTCTTTAATCTCTCCCCTTTTTCTTGTTTCCAGCCTTGCTTGGTTTTTCATAATTCCCAGTAATTGTTTCTGAATAAAACATAAATGCTAAAGAAAAAAAAACATTGTAAAATTGGGGCAAAAATACATCCAGAAAAAAAAGAGAATTTCTTGGCATGGCGAACTGGTTTCTGAAACCCTAATCGGGTGGAAGGGACGATGAGGTATTTATAAATGAAACTTAATTGGGCTTTTTGGAGGCAGCCCAGCGCATGAATGGATCATATCCTGAATCCTGATCCGGTCCTGGTCTGGGCAAGTTTGGGCCCCTCAATCTTGAATCCTCACTTATTTTCAAGTTTGGGCACCTCGATCTTTATGGAACCAGGAATCCTGCCCAATATATATTCATCAAGAGTTCTTTTTTTTTGAAGTTTCTAATCTCATTATTGAACAAATCTATTTGCGAATAATAAGTTTAATAGGGTCTTTTTTTTCATTTTGATCTCATTTGGGAATTGAACACTGATTTGACTCATGGAGGACTAAAGGGATTTGGAAGCATCCAAGTTGGATCATAATATAGCTCATGAATGAACACATTATATTATATTAGAGCAAATAAACCTTTTAGTACAAAACTTCATCACTTTCTATTGTCTCATCTCTTTAATCTTTTGTGTGTGATGTGATCATGGGAAATTGACCACATATATATGTTCCCTATTCATTCCTAACTTTAATCTTCAAAAATCATCACATCCAACTTGTAAGAGTTACCTATCATATATAATAGTGCTTATTTGATATGTTATTTAAATATAATTTATAAAAAATTTGTTACTACTGTGTCCCTACTTTACCTGAGCTCTCTAATACCAATATGTTGGGACCATGCATACTCTTATTCCTACCTTACAATAATACTACCTCCGTCCCACTCTCTTTGTTCACTTTTGACTTTTAGAACTGTTCATCTAAGCACTTTGACTCATCAAATTCTCTCAGTGTGTAAGTCTAAATATAGTCATGTGTGATCTTGTTTGATTTGTTTTAACATAAAGATTATTAATATATAATTTCTATAATTTTTTAATATACAAATTATAAGATAAAATGGATTAAAGAAGTGCATTGGATGGTGTGTAAAAAGGTAAGTGGACAAAGAGAGTGGGTCGGAAGGAGTATAATATTGTCTGTTCTAGACTAAATTCTCAATGATTAATTTTTGACACCTCTCAAAAAATATCATATACAATTTATTTTTTTACTTAATTATAGGTCAAATATAGAAAATGATTGACTCAAAAAAGTCAAAATTAGATAAATACTTCTAAACGGAGGTGGTAAAGCCCTGGTACTACATAAGCTTAATTTTAATATTTTTACTTGTTTGTTAACCCTAACAACCCGTTTTAAGATTACTCTAAGCACAAATTTTGTTTTGGGGAAAAAAAATATTTCTAATCAAATCAAGCCGTTAAAATTGATCAAATAAGTCAGAGATAGGGGAATCTGACAAACAAGATCGATCATTTATTGTTTTAGAAAAAACACGTTTGAATATTATTGGTGGACTTTGTGTGGACTTATATTTGACAAAGAAAATATAAAGGCTTGAAAAAAAAAGTAATGAAAAAACAACGATTAATGTTACAAATGATTAAGTAAATGTGTAATGAAAAAATATAACTTCATCAAGTGTATAATAACAAAGAAGATAAATTTATTATCAACGACTCGTTTTTTATTTTTAAATTGTTTTTGCTTAAAAACCATGATTTGAATTCAAAAGACTGAAGGGAGTACTTTCGTTGAGTTTCAATTCATAACCATTGCCATATGTACAACAATTAAAAAACCATCTACTTGTTTTATATTTCTGTGTCTTTTCTTTAATTAAATCAAATAGTCATTGCTAAATACACATTCATTTTGATCAAATTCTTTCGGTTTATGATAAATTAACACATTACCCTTAATTCATACTTTCCTTGTCCGAAAATAATGTTCTCATTTAACCTTTTGGGGTCAAAATTGAAAAAAAAAAAATTATCTTAAATCTCAAAATGAAGTACGATGAAAATTTATTTTGAATTCAATATTTGTTCGTATTAATATGAAATTTTGAAATATCATGCATACTCCTTCCAGTTCTAAAATTTCTTTCTGTTTTAACATTTTGGTCAAACTCTTATATTTTTACCATAAATTGTGAGAAAAGTATATTAATTATAATATAAATTTAATATAATTGGGTTCATCTTAGAATATAGTTTTGATATATCACATTTTTATAATATTTATATATTTAGATAGTTTTTGGTTTATGGTTAAAAAGTATTACTATTTGACTAAAAAATTAAAATATTAAGAGTTTTTAGGACAAGAGGGAGTATTATTTTTAAAAAAAAAATATTAACGTCTAAATAAAGATATTAACGGTCAAAGTATCATATTAGAGATCGTGAAATGACAAATGAAACTTTGTATTTTAAGGAAAACTTTTTCTTTTTCATTAGGAGAGTAAATTTAAGCCAAAAGGGATATGGATTATTTAGCAAAACCCAACAAGACCGGTTCTAACATTTCAGAGACATTGCTGAAAACATAAAACTATGCTCTTAAAGTTTATAAAACATGATTTTTTTCTAATTCTTTAAAAGTCTAGTCCAGTTTAATAAGTTTATTATGATGTTAACCTCTACTACACAATAAAGATGTTAATATTTGAAATTTAAACATTACATTTTTAATCAATCAAAGAGTCATGAATCCCCCCAAAAATTGAGAATTTAAAGAGAAAAAAAACATATATATTTTAGAAATAAATTAAAAAGCCAACACATGTTGAGGTTAATGTAAAACACTCATTAAATGTTCTCCAAGTAGCATGCCCCAATGAAATAACTATTCCCTACATCCATTAATTTCTTTCTCACTTTGTTTTGAATTGTCTAAAAATTTCTTTTTTTTGTTTTCTATTTTGGCAAAAAGTATTTAATGAATGTGTCATTATACTTTTATTTTTTCTCTACACTAATCACTTTATTGCATCATATCAAGACCAACAAATAAAATTTTTTTATATTTTTTGATTTTTCTTAATCTTCGTGCCAAGTTAAAACGTGAAAGAAATTTTTGGACAAACGTATTACAATAATACGCAACATTAGATAATAAAATGCACGCAATTTTTAAAATTGGGCTTCAAAATTTCGAGAGTTTTGTGCAATTGTACCTTTCCAATGCCCTTAAGGCCCACTACACTTACCAATTTAAAATTTGAAATTTGCACTAAATAATACTGTAGTACTAAAATATACTCTCTATGTTTCTTATTAAAATATTTTTTTATCTTTTATATGTTTTTCCCAAAATATACTTCCATTTTTTTTATTAAAAAACTACTTTTATCCTTATTTTTTTACTTTACCTATCACATCATATTTTTTTACTAATAATATACTCATCACACCTTACTTTTAATTATCCATCACATACATTGTTTTATTCTTTAAATAGTACTTGAATAATATTCGGTAGCGGGAATAATGTCTAATGGCGGTAGAAATTTACTTGAAAAATGGTACTACATTGGAAAATAAAAACATCTGATGCTATGTTGGAAAACTCACTATGTTTTACTCTCTCCTTACCTAAAAGATTGCTGCATTTTGACTTTTTTGGTCAAACTGTGACACTCTTTGACCGTGAATTATGGAAAACGTATATTTAGCAAAATTGTAAGTTTAGTATAATTATGTTTATTTTAAAATATAGTTTTGAAATATCAATTTTTTATAATATTTAATATTTTTAAACTATATTTAATTCGTGATCAAAGCATGCTATAATTTGACAATCTGTGGCAATCTTTTAGTTTAATTACTTTAAACTATATATTTAAAAATTTCTCATTATTACGTTCAAAAATTATATTTAGAATGTCTTCATTCTCTTTCATGGTTGCACGGGCAGGATATCTAAAATAAGGTTTGTGAGAGTCCCAATTTCATATTATAGTAAACATAACCATTTGTTGCCAAGGATAGAATAATGCAGTAGATAATCATATGTCTCAAATATGCTCTTTATATATATAAATGTACAAAGTTATTAAAAGACAAGAGTGCAATGTTAGCAAGCACTACATATAGTGCATTCACGACATCATAATTCAAAGGATATTGTTGAATTTTAATTCATGTATATATAATTTGAAACTAGCTTTGGTTAAACGTATCAAGTTGTCCCCAATGATATAATTAATCAATGGTCATGTTTTGTAGTTTTTGCTGTGTTTTTTTCCTTTGCCTGCACACACTCTGTTTTGGTGGAATTCAACTAGGTTGTCGTTGTGTACGTCAGTTTGCAGCCTCGCCCTCTACTTCCGAATAGAGGTTTTTTTATATAAGTATTTTCAAAATTCTATTTTTTTAAATACAAATATCTCTTTTAATCCACAATTTTAACCTAAAAGCTTAAGTTAATAGATAGAAATTAACCCTTTTATATACGGAGTATATATTATGGTATTTTATATATATACACGAAACCCACCGTCACCCAATTTAAAAAAATAAACTTTCACTTGCAAGGCTTAATAAAGTCACACCTACACATTAAGGGGCATGTTAAAGTATATAAAATTATTTTCTGGGCCACAACCAAAAGTTTGAGCTTTTGGTTAAGTTGGTTTCTTGACGATGTGTCTAGGGATGTAAACGAATGTTAATCAGACCAGATGTACCTTTACCCAATCGGTACCCATTTATTTTTATCTAATATCAAATTCGGATATGGATCTTAGCGGATGCTAAAAATCAAAACTGTATCCACATCCGTTAGATATCGGTGGGATATCGGATATATTCATGTCTATTTCCAAATTTTCAAAATCAAATTAAACTATTTGTTGAATAGTATATATAAATATTTTTAATTTATTCATTCAATTAAAGATGAGTAAATTCCCAAAATAGTCCTTTGTAATAAGGGATTTTCCCAAATTAGTCCTCACTAAGTTTTAATTACTCACAAGGTCCTCTATAATTGAGATTTATTCCCAAAATAGTCCTTTGTAATAAGGTATTTTTCCAAATCAGTCTTCAATAAGTTTTAATTACCTAGGTGGTCCTCTATAATTGAGATTTATCCCCAAGATGGTCCTTCATAAAGAATGTTACTCAAATGAGGATTAATTGAGGTTATTTTTTCTCTGCTAAATTTAGAATTAATTCTTAAAATAAT